ATGAACATTGTAGACACATCTTGCGATAATGAAAACTTGCCTTCAGTATCGAGTCATCACGGAATTACACGCTAATGAATGGATTTCTCATACAAATACTTCACATAATCTGATACAAGGCATTATGTCCTTTGGTGTGCAGGAGCAACTAAGGTTTTGCTCCTCCTCGTTCTTATTTTTTTATATTCTTTCTGTTGGTTAATTTGTTAGGCATCAGTCGCTTTGCAGAATTATTTTTGGTTAGCTGTAATTCGGAAGACGCCTTGCGGAATGGATATTGTATGACATATACGCCTACTACTTTTTTCTACGTTGGCGATAAAATACTACGATAGGTACTTGCAATTTTGTGCAATCCTTCGCTGCATGAAAATTTTGCGCTGCGTGGTGTTGTACAAACGGTTGTGTACGTTTTTTTTGTTTATCTTGCTTGTACTAGGCCGTTAAGGAAGAGTACTAGAAAAACAGGCTAAGTTTGCTCATAACTAATAAATATAAAAAATTATTTTGTTCATCAAATTACGCATGCGCCTATATAATCCTATTATATAGTGCTTCTTGCTGTTTAAGCGGCAGATTTTTCAGAACGGTGGTATAAAACCTTGGCGGAGGAGACTCTATGAATTCCTCGAAGATTAGTTTTACTGCATTATCTGGATTGAAATTTTTTCCTATCAAGAAGTTGTCCAAATTGCGAAAGGAGTGGTGGTCAGTGGGAGTTAGAGCTGGAGAATATAGAGGATCGTGAAGAAGTTCCAACCCCAATTCCTGTAGTTTCACCACGGTCTTTTACGCAGTGAAGATAAAATTCGATCTGTTGACAAATCTGGGCTGTTTTTCCTTAAGTTTTAGCATCGTTTTGTCTAGTTGGTTACAGTATATTTTTGTGTTATCGATGAGCCTGCTTTCATGAAATCGCAATAAACCACACCTACGCTACACCACTAAACACTCACCATCAGCTCCTTCTGGTGAATACTACGCTTTGGAGTATGTTTGGTGGTGGCTGAATGTTTGCTATTGTCATACAAGTTTCATCTTTGTCAATCTGACACAAATGCGTATGTCCTCCAGTACTTTCGACGTAATTGGTCTTAATTTCCCATCGATGTTATGTTTGAACAATTCTCCAGCATTAACCGACATTTTTACTGGATACTTGCCTTATCTCTAGTTTTCTTGTCCTGATTTCTGCTGGGGGTCATAGTGATATAATCTCGCCAATTTGCTTCAGTTTTGACATACGAATTTTTTTTTTTAATGTTTTAAATCTCGAGCTATTTTTATTGGTACCCGTTCTACTGATTTTATGATTTGCATATATCTTCCTTGCTAAATGCTTTTTCCCCAGTACGGATTGTTCTGGTTATAGGGTTATTTTGGTTACTCTTACTAGCGAGTCCTATATATGATGAACTAGCAGTCTCTGCCGTCTTCCTTTCTCCCTCAGAAACAGGGCAAGTACCTCCAATCCTACGAGGAAAATTTTATATATGGTAGATTAGAAATCTCCACCATTGAAAATATCCTGCTCGATAGCAGCAGTTAAAAACTAAATATAGCAAGTAAGAAAACTAAATTCGGTCGGGTCCGAATCTTTTATACCCATCACCGTTATCCTAAAAAAGACAAAAAAGTAAAAGAACAAAATTTTCATTCTCTATAATGTGGAGTGCGCGTAGCGGACGTTTTGTCTATTTTCAAAATGAAAGTTTTTGTCGTATAAGCATGTGGGCGTTGTAGTGGGGTCCTTTGAAAAGTCTAGGTCAATTCCAAATTTTTTCGCAAATTTGGGGGCGATATCTTCATTTTCGCTCACGGGAGAATGTTTACCATACATACTACAAAGCCGCCCAAATAGATAGGTGGAGAAACGAATACACGGATATATTTAGGCGCCTTCCAAGTTTGAAGGCGCCAAGAACTTATATACTTTATAGGGTTTACAAAGCTTGTTTCTGCGCGTTAGAGAGGTATTGAAAAAACAATTAAATTTTGGCATACTATAATATTGGATGGGTTTGGTCAATTTTTTCCATATTTGTACGCAATAGATAAGGCATCGCATATAGAATATGCGACCAAATTTTTGGGCATTTATTTGCTATAGTTTATGAGTAACGAGCAAAAACCAAGTTTTCATTCCCTTTGGAAAACATAGGTGTTCTCAGTTTACGTAGTACTGTGGGAGTGTCCTACCCCTGTTTTGCCCACTTTCAATACCAACCTGCGTGCATGAACTAGTTTCTCCCAAATTTGAAGTCGATAGTTTAATTTTTGCGGCCAGGGGAATGTTTACAACAGACATTACACAGTCGGATGTGCTTAAATCGATTTAGAATATGATGTTGAATGACGAAAGTTAGCCCGGAGCGTTATTGAATAATCTAATAAAATACCTTTATTAGGTATTTTTATGAGGAAATTTTCTGAGTATTTTATGACGAAACTAGGTGAAATAAAAAACAAAAAATGAACTTTACTAAATTTGAGGCACGTTGATTGACAATTTGAACCCGCTTCCACGACGGTCTTCTTACAACATAAAAGCCCTCAAATTAAAACGAACATATGAAGCTGCGGTCTGGCTCAGGGCTTTCGAACTGATCGGTTCAAAGAGAGTTTATAAAGTTAAAAAGACAAAACTATAGACTTTTCGATTTTCATGAAGTGTATTTGCTATTTTATTCGGGAAATTTCTCCGTTATATACGTAAATGGTCTGAATAATGCAGGCAAGTACAATACAACGATGTAAGCTCAAAAAGGCGTGGAATACTGCGGCTGACTTTATAATTCAGGTACTAGAAATACTTTATAATTTAGGCACCGGAAAGCAGAAGAAATCAGCATAGAAGGCGCGGTCACACGGGACGTCGGGGATCGTTCCATCTGTTAACTCTCGGTGTACAGGCTTAGTGACTCAGATACTTTGTTTCGCAATTTCGCAGCTTCGGCTTACTCGCTCTATAAAAGGATATAAGTTTTGCTTCATTAGTGATAATGGTTCCCTGAGAAAAGGAATACCTATGCCTGAAGGAAGTTCTAGTCCATGCTAAGGAGAATCGACAGTGATGGATTAGTTGTCTCTGCTAAGAATTTCCTTCTGAACAGAATTTATCCTTCTGCAAGTCCTAATTGCCATGCCTCTCACGAAAAAAGTTTGGCTTATTTAGTACTACCCCGCTGATTTCCGACGCCCAATTAAATATAGTTTTTTTTTACTTTTTTGCTGCTGAGGACATTTAGTTTGCGTAGTGAATGCCATCGCATACTTCCGTAAGCTAGTGTTAGTGTGCACACATTTAAGCCTCATAAATAGGTATGTACAATAGGATTAACATTTGCGCGTGTAAATGTGTTTATGTTAGTAGGATAACTTGCGTGCATGAGTACATACATCTCGCTCGATGCAGCAGCGATGGTCAATTAGGCAAAATGTAGAATCATTGTTATATGAACTGTTTTAAGTGTATACGTGCGTCTTAAGCGTTGGGTAGAATTGATGAGCGAATTTTGAGAAATCGGTTTGGCATAAGAGAAAACATGACTGAAGTGTAGTATTTAGCTTGAGTATAGAATGTGATTATAGTTGCTATGCACAGTTTAAGCAAGCAATAAAAATGAGCAGTTAATTTTTAGAAGAATAAATGAACTGATTGGAATGTTGGAGCACGCAACTTAAGCTTAAAATTCGATGAGTAAAAATGCGTGAGATTAGTAAGTGCTTAAAAATCTGTTTTTGAATGTTATGTATATATTATCAGCGTTTGTGCTAATAAATAATTTACGACGGAAGAAAGTTAAAATTTTTGTTTATTTTATCACGGGTATTTAATAGTTGTGAGTTTTAATATTTTTACTTGTTTTTCTCTTAAGTCATTTATAACTGCTATTGTGCAAAGTAGTACGTTAGTAAATTCGTATTTACTATTTATCACCTAAAACTATAATTTGAAAATCGTCGTTTTTACCTTGAATTGCTAAAAAAATTTTTACATTTATATTCCTCATCAGTCGTATGTTGTGAATAATACGTAAGAATTAGCATAATGTATTTCAAATATTTCGCCTCTGTAACACCTAAACATTTTCATTAAGCATGGAAAGAATCTCTTTATTAGAGTAGCCTTTAGTGCATTCTTTAGTAGCGAATTGAGAGATCGCCTCTTTTTTTACTTTGCAAAGAAGTTATCAAAATAAAACAAATGAGAATAAGCAATTAAATGGGGAATGACTTAATTTTATCGCTTCCAATTCCATTAGTAACTTGGCGTTCTACCCTAACCATTTTAAAGGCCTGAACCTTTATCTTTTGTATCATTATCCATTATGAGTTTTCTCTTTTTATACAATGACGCAGATACATGCAGAAGTTGAGTTATGTATAATTGCTCGGAGCTAAAGTTACTTTCTCTTGTAGAGTTCTTCTCATTTGAAGCAAGTTACTTGTAAGTAAAGTAATGTGTAGAAACTTATAGTTTTTTATTGCAGTACCACCTACGACGCTAACACTGTAAGAACGCGCGGAAAGTAATATCATGAAAGAAGCAAAATTATTTTGTTTGGAGTTGTCATAAATAAAATATTAAATTTCTGCGTTAACGCTGGCATCGTGAACGTTGTTTTTAATTGAAAGGTCAAAAATTTATCATTATCTAAAGTAAATACATTCGTATCAGCAATTACGGTTGTTATAAACGTTTATTGCGTTCGCATTTCCAGTATTTAAAACAGAAAAAATAAAGTGCAGCCGAATTCGCGGACTCAATGGCAAAAACAGATTAGGTGGCTACTAAGAAAATTTAGTATAATTCTCGCAAAAACTTTTTCGACTTATCGATGGTTGTAAAGTGACTTACGAAGCGTAATAAAAATGATAAAGCATTCAATATCTTTACTTTCGTCATTTCTATGTAAAATTCTTACACTTGCACTTATTTTGTAATTTTTTATATCAAAAAATATTTAATTTATATATATGTATATTTCTAATTTCAGCTGAGATCGATTTTAAAGATAAATTTTCAGAGCCTCAATACTACGATTCAAAAGGTTCGATACAAGTCTATATAAATTATACATGTATGTGAAAACTTCTTTTTTCGATATGTTTTTTAAAGTTCATAAAAAGGCATAATAGAACACTTTTTCTCACACTAAATACTTGCACTAATATTAATATTCTTATATTAATGCGTTGTACGATCAGTATCATAAAATATAATTTTATTAATATTTCTAATAAAAATAATAGGCTTGAAAATGTGGAAAAACTGATTCTACTGAAAATGATATGTTCAACTGTATGGTCTAAACTTATTGTTCGGAACGAAATATTATTATTCCCCTTACAGTTTCAATTGAATTGAAATTTATTGAAAAAAAATTAACCGTGCCAAAAGTTAAACACTTTGACTTGACTAAGACATGTATTTGGTTCAACTATTATTTCACTTGAACTGATCGGGGTCCAAAACCTCTAATAATTTTTATAAATCGCATTGTAGAAAAATTCTGAAGTTAATACGCAAAATACGATTGAACTAAGAAGACCACAAATTATGTGTAATATATAATTTTTTCACAAAGAGCAATCTTCCATCACTTTTTTAAAATCTTATTTAATTATTAAACAAACCAGAAATATTTTCCTAATAATGTATAGCTACGTGATTTCTTTTCCAAACAGTAAACGAACAACCAAAATTTTACACATCGGCTTGATTTTAAAGATTTTATTGCTTTAGTCCTCCCTCACAATATCATTTTCTCAAACCTTTAAACCTTATTAACAATGAGCAACCATTTCAAAGGATAAATTAACTGGAGTTGTTTAAGGTGTACGATATAATACATATAAGTATATGCAATGATATCATAGCAATATTGTCACCTAATTATCATCAGATGTTATGCTTGGCGATCAAGAAGGACGGTACAATGAGATACGATGATCAGTGATGGACTCCGTAAAAACCAAAACAACATTTGAGCGTCCTTGCTTTTACTCAATGATCCTTGAATCTTTTTTAACTTTAAGAAGTAATAAGTAAGATAAATAAAAACCTATCACATTTTAAAATGATTGGAAATTTACGCTCATTTTTAGTGAGAATTATCTATTCTTCTATACATCGAATTTAGCTACAATATAGATTGAGATGAATTAAACCTTGAAAAGAATTTTACATTTGCAAAAATAAAGGAGGAAAGAAAATGAAACATGTGTAAATTTAATCCAAAATCACCCACAAAAAACCCACGGCCAACGTATAACGTGTTGAGAGTGCACCACTAAACCAATCCATTGAAGCTCGGCAACTGATTATAGCAATATTATTTAGTGTATTGATGGATCGAAATGGCGCATTGAAAAACTATATTTTGTTGTAAGCGTCATGTCAGCAATGCACGCGAGTATAAAGAAAAATAGACTGAACGATTTTATAAAAGGAACATCGTTGATGGATGCAGAGAAACATTAAAATATATATCATTTAATAGAATCGGCCAATGTCACCATTTATTAACTTTATCATAACGGTACTGTGTATGATAAGTCTCCGGTGAAGGTAAATATATAAAAACCCCTAAAAAGCTATTTTGGCATGATGGGAGTAAGACACGTTCTTAAGCGCAAGAAGAAAAATTGTTTCCGCAAAGATTCAATTTATTTAATGTGGCAACGATAAGAAGATGGCCATACATGTTTTATTTATGGATTACTCAATTCCTAATCGGATCAAGGTTTAACAAGACCAAGGAACGAGTACACACCCTTTGACATCTATAAATACAGAAAGCATTCAGATGCGAATGACCCTGCTGTTGAAAATATTTATTTTAATTGAAGATCTCGGCATTGAATAAACACCAAATTAGTTAAATTAAATTTGACAATACATGTATAAGGTTCCGAGTTAAAGAAATAGAATTGTCTAACGGCATCAGGATGATGAGCGTGGGATGAATAGAGAAGGATAATGGAGATAATAGAGTAAAGCGACTACTTTGGAGGATTGACCTGAGGAGAATAACCAAATAACTAAGTATGGCAATTTCTGTAATAACCATCCTCTCCAAGGCCTTTTCTTACCCGATGTACGCAACATAAATCTGCGCATCGATGAAGAAAGTCTTAAGCGCAGTTCAAGTGAATTCAATCTCAGTAATATATCTACTAATGCTTTCGTAAAATGAGGAAGCAACAAAAGGCTTTCAACAAACAGAAAGTCTACCAGGTTTGAGGGAACACTTGAAGATGAGTGCGATAGATTTGCATAAACGCATCGAGGTTTGTGTAGATTGATCTTTTACGAAATGCACGAGTGAAGGTCTTCTGCACGGTTTTTAATAATACAAGACGGAAGCTAGCCTGGATTCGGTGGTTAGCTATGCTTTAACGGTTTTAGGCATTGCATAAACACATATACAATTGCTTTTTTGAGTCGGATAAGCGGAGTAAAAATTAAGACGAATAGATTTAAAGTTGAAAGAATTAAGAAAAGGGTATTAAATTACAAGCAAGATTGAGTCAATTTTACTCTAGAACTGAGATATTTATAAAATCGCTTTGGTTACTTAAGAGAACAACTTTTATCTTAAGTTAGCGCCTGAAATAACATTCGCAGCTGAGAAAATTGGCGTCTGGCAATAGAGTACGTAGTATAATTAAGAGCATACCTACTCTTTGTTGAATTTTTTTTCAGCAATTTCAACCTTGAATTAAACTAGACTAGGTGTGAGATTCCCCCGACGGGCTCAAACCTACGCCCAAATGAAACCATGGGAACATTAAGACATTATGAAGAATGAATGTAAGAAAGAATAAGAACGAATAAGAGTAAGAAAGAATAAGATATTTAGATCAATGAGACCCTAGACTTTTTAATGTTATGAACAACCTTATCAAAAGAAAATTTTGGTTGGTTTAGACAAGTTAGATATAATAGTATATATGCATTAAAAAAAGGATAAGGGTAATCTCCAGGCAAAAGATGATTGGCAAGAAATCACTAGTTGAAAGACAAATCATGTTTGAAAAGATTAGATCCAAGGCACTACTCTTGATATGCGAGATGATAATGCGTGATAAGTCTTAGATTATTATTTTTTTACCAGTATTATCAGTCAAATTTTTAGGAAAGTTTCTGAGTTCACAAAAATGTACGATCGGTTACTACACACGAAGCTGCCAAACTTTCTTTCATTCTGTTATCGTTGAATTCTTTCTTCAGTTTCCTGCACTGTCATAGACTGTCTATGTTTCGATTACGGCTATCAGATTTCAAATTTTTACATTGATTTTATCTTATTATTCTGAGCTGCTTTCATAAAATATTTTGTTTTAAAAATTGAAATCTTGTGTAAATGAAATCAGAATAAAAATTGCTATAACTTAATTACATCGTAATTAACATAGTTTGCAGGCCCTAAACCTTTGAAGCTTGTAATGAATTTATGTATGTTACCAAATAAATATATAGAACTTGCTTTCTATTTCACCTATATTGATTAAAATTTTATGTTATAGACGGAACAATTTAAAAATCTCTAATTTTTTTTTAGTACTTTTCAGAATCTTATCGAATGTATTAGAATTTTCGCTACTTACATGTAGTTTGAAAGTGATTTCAAATGTGGCTATGAAAATCAGTCCTAATCTTAACCCTCCGTCCCATTTTTCGGAAATGGTTTTAAAATAACGTAACGTAGGTAGTTTTCTGTTTTTATTTTATTTTGTTAAGCAGACTGTAAAGCCTTAAAGGCCTATGAGCTAGTTACATAGGTACAACTTATATTCAAAAAGAAACTACAATATAAGTGACTGTACAAATCAGCTAGATGGCTAATAACGTAATTGTCTTGCTCTAAGAACTCCACAATCATCAATTTTTACCAACGACAAAATACGAGTTACGAGCTTAGACGACTCAGTTTTTTTTCAAATGTATTCAAGGGGCCATCGGAGAATTTCAGACCCAGAGGTAACGCACCCCAATATCTAACAACACGAACAATAAACGAACTTTCGACAGATGAGTTAGAGAAACATGATCCTGCTATGAAAGGATTTCTATCCAATCCAGAGCACTGCAGGCGGTCCCCAAAAGCTTAGGAATCAAGATTGCATGATTTTGCAGAAGTAGATAAGCAGCATGAATTTAGGATAAGCAGGAAAAGAGGATTTCACGGAAGCATGAAAGAAGGAGGAGATGTGGTCTCTGAGTTCAACAAAGACTCGAAGACAATGCATTGAATCTACAAGATGAATGGCACACCCCATTTTTATATTGCGATTAGATGAGCCAGCACCGAGAGAATTGAAGAACAAGGCCTTACTCTTGCTGGAGTTAATACAAAGCACGTTATCAATAATTCGGAAGTTATCGTTTGCTAAAGATTTGTTAATATTGTCCTCAAACGAATGCAAATTATTTGCCTTATCACTATAGAGCAGAAAGGTGTCATCCGTATACCCAAAAAACCGCAGTCGTCATCAATCAAGATCAATTAGGAAAAGATTAAACAATAGGGACTCCAAAATAGGACTTTGCGATACACCAGACACAATCTCGGCGAGAGAAGAGTTAGAGTAATTCAATGAAACAAACTGTTTACGACCTAAAATTATACCACCGCCAAAGGTTACAAGATCTTCGCGATTCTGTGAAATGGATTTATTAGATGAAGAGCAATAAGACCACAGCTTATACCAGAATTGATATTGCCTTTAATGAACTCGGTGAGAGAAATTAGAAGTTTCGAGATGCAACGTCCCGACCGAAAGCCTAACACAGCATCATGCATGACATTACTATTATTTCATGGTAAGCTCCGTAAGTTGGGAGAGGCCATGTAGGATGCTAATCGGTTGAAGGTTGTTAAATTCAAAAGTAGACCTCTTTTTAGGGGTGGGTCTTATTCGAGCTATTTTCCACTCCTTGTGAAATTTGGAGATCACAACTACTCTGTTCATGGCGCGTAATAGATGATTAGATATATAGGGTAAGATTAAGTTATCAAGTTGAACAGATACTAAGTCAAACCCAACCGAGGTAGATGGAATTTTTCGAAACGCA